ACCAGGGATCTAACCTGCACCATCTGTTGTAGTGAAAGCCTGGAATCTTAACCACTGGACCTCCAGGGAAGTCCCCAGGGTCACCCTTATAAAAGCATGTTTGTGTCAAAAATATTTTCTTGGGAGTAAATAACTGGGTGTTGAATTGCTGAGCCCTAAAGTATTAGAAGTGCATTTAATTGTATTAAAGAAAAACTAGCAATCAATAGCTATACCATTTTACCCTGCCACTGACAAAGTATGAAAGTTCTAGATCATCAATAACCTCACCAACATTTAGAGTTGTCAACCTTTGTTAGTTTCAGCTACTCTAGTAGGTATGAACTGGTATCATATTGCAGCTTTATTTTTATATTTTCCTGATGATTAGTGATTTGGAGCATCATCTACCATGCTTACTCATTACCCCAACATATGTTTGTGCACTCTTCTTTCAAGTATTTAATACTAGTTTAGTCCAACCAATTTGACCAATATTTTTGGTGTCCTGCTCTCAGTTGTGTGAAAGGAAAATGAGTGTCTGGGGTTCTCAGGCAGACATAGAGGAATGCATGGAGCACTGTACCCAGCAGCAAATGCTGCTGATGGTCTGCCTGCTTTCTTATTGCTTACTTTCCAAAAGCATGTCAACAACATCCTGGAGCTCTATACATGAGAACTTTCTTTTGGCCTATGTGTGAGTCAGGCCCAAAATGCCAGGGGATTAATGTCTCCAAGAACAATCCCCACTTAATGACAAATTAGAGTTGTAGGTTAAATATATCATCTTCCTTGCACTTTGGGTAAATAACTCTGAAGTGTGGTCTACACTGTTTCCTAGGGCCTCTCAATGAAATTGAGCCTTAGTTCTCTACAGCAGTCACTTACTCAATGACGATAACTTATCAGCTCCTCCTTTCTCTGTCACATTTCCCATTCTCTGACTTAGTTTCTCTAGGATCACTTCCAAAATGAACTACTTGTACTCAAGTTCTTGCATTGTGATCTCTTCTAGGGAAACACAGCTGAGGCAAATTTCCCCAAAGATGCATATTAGGACATAAGAATTATATGTCAGACTAAAAGGGTTGATGATGTGCTTAAGAAGGTATGACACTGATTTAATGGGTAGCCACCCAAACGAAAGGACCAGATGAATATGACAGAAAGTCAGTCATGTCAGTTCCTAGTAGAAGCAAAAGTCCCTATAGGCTGGTGACTGAGGGTTGGAAGAGGTTTTCTAGAAAAGGTAGAACCTGATAGGGTCATGGAAATGTGAGCTGAAAGGAGAGGAAGACATTCTAGGAAGGAGGTGTGTTACAACAATGGCATGGTTGTACAAATCATATTTGGATTTATAATCTACTTGGAGCCTGAGTGTATATGAAAAGGGACAAAAATAAAATTTACAGTGTTGATTATGATCAAATTAGAAAGAGTTTCAAAGGAAACACTAGCAATTTTGGACTTTGTCTCATAGATAATAGAGAGTCATTGAACACTTTTTTCAGCAGGAAGTAACACAATAAAGTAGGTTTCTAGGAAAAAACAAAAACAAAACAAAACCAGTGTTGTTCTGAACAGTTAATCAAGGCTAAAAGCAGAAGTTTCTTGATGTAGTTTTAGTGATTCAGATATAAACTGATAAAACCCCCAACATGTGTAATGCTTATGGGAATGGAAAGGGCAATATCAATTCGAGAACTACTGTAAAGATTCAATAGGATTTGGTGACACTGATGATGGAACTTGGGAAATAGATAAATGAGTCAATGCTGTTTTAAATCTTCAAGACAGTTGGTTTCAAAATATTGCCAGAATATTAGCAAAATATAAGAAATTATAAAAGATCTTAGAGTAAAACAATAAGTTCATTTAAACACTGTAATTTCAACTTTTAAGTCCCTTTGTGGTGATTTTTTTTAATAGTTATACCTTTGTATCTAACAAATATTTTAAGATCTGGAGCTAGAATTTAGTAGAGAGTTGGTACTGTTAAATGACATCTGAGAATCATCTTTTTAAACTGTTGACCATATACGAGATCACAAAGGAAGGAAGCTGATAGAGTGAAGAATTAAGCCCCAAAAGACCACATTTAGGGCAAAGAGAAAGAGAAGCAGGGTTGAGACGAGGTACAGCTCGAAGTGTTGTGAAGGGTTGTGGAGTCAAAGGGAAAGATGATTGCAATGATGAGGGCATAAACATGATTCGAGGCTTCAAAGATCGAATGGGTTAGAGGCTTCAAGGGGGATGAGAAGTCCTCAGAGCTAGAGAAAAGGTAACACATGGTCTTGACTTCATTAGGCTATCAGCCAGGTGGGAGAGCTGAAATTTACAGAGAAAGGAAACAATGCAAAACAACATAACCACCTCAGTGTTTGAGCCACACTGTGATGGCTATGTGAGAGCAGGAAAACAAGGGGTCAGCAAAAGACACAGGCATTAGCAATTTGACCAAGTCCAGGTGTAACTCGAGCGTGAGCTTTGCAAAAGAGAGAAATGAATATGTAGGAGGAAGACCCCATGCATAAAAATCACTGGGTAGAGACTTACGCTATTTGGGAGTGTAATTAAACTGAGAGATGAGGGTATTTACACACTTACATATGCATATATTGCCTGCTTCTCTTAATTTAAAAATCCAGGAACTAATCTAAATGTGAAAACAGATAAAGTAACTAAACATGTCTAGTCTTGAAGGAGCTACCTATAGAATCAAATGAGCCAGTGAAAGTGATTAATCCTAGTGTCCACAGATATGGAGCAGAAACCAAGACATTTTCAGGTCAAAGGTAGTTTTGTTGGTGGGCTCACTCAGTCACTGAAGTGACTGTATATGTGGTTAAAAATAATAGGGAATTTTTATGTATATAGGGAGCTTCTGTACCTAGAACCAAGCACTTCTGTCTTAATTTTATAAACGTCCAGTACTCCTGCTCCTCTAAGGCTGCGTTCTAAGGAGGTGTGCGTTAGACTATGCTTTTGTGCTTCTGGCACCCAACTGTCTCATTGAGCTATCTGTTACTGAACTGCAAGTTTGTATGCCCCTTGCATAGTGAGGCTAAACAAACCAGTCCCACTTGCTTTCCTCCTTTTCCCTTCTTTCTTTTTGATCTACCTAGTGATGCATGGATCTCTATAATCTTTTCTGCCAGTCTAGTGGCCAGGGTTCTGTGAGGACTGTTGCATCTGTAGGTGTAGTCTTGATGTATCCATGGAGAGACATCTACTTCATATCAGCTACTTCTCTGCCATCTTTCAAGGCCAAACAAACCAAAAGGCCAGAAGTTGGAGCAGAGAAATTTTATTGCAGGGCCATGCAAGATGACAGATGGTCCATGCTTCAAAAGCGCCAAACCCTCAAAGGTTTTCAGCAAAACACTTTTTTTTTCTTTTCCAGCAAAACACTTTTAAAGGCAAGATGAGGGAGGACATGGCTAGTTGTTGCAAATTTCTTGGTGTAGGAATCCTTTGTTCTTACAGATGTCCACATAGGTCAGGCCATGATGTTCCAGTAAATGTCTGAGAAGACAAATGTTATTCTCTCTTCTCTAACTTTTTAATCTCTACATGAATGAGATCTTAAAGACTGGAGCCCTGAGAATGGGCTCTCCTGTGTATTTCAGGCTATGGGCAACATTCTTTCACAAAAAGTACAGGGCCAGTATGACTAAGCACAGGAAAAGAAACATGTCTAATAGGGAGCCAAATTTGTTCTTCCCTATTACATTTTGAACACTTGGGTAGTGCACATGGTTAGGCTGATGGTTGGGATGAGACTGGGGACAGAGAGGGAAATATGTGTCTATCTTAAAAAAACTAACTGGTTCTCCAATTTTTGCTTTAAGTATTTTAAATCATCTATAAGTAAATCATTTATTTAAATTTTCTTTTCCCTTGCCAGATATTTTGATGCCATTGTGAAATAATTCTGACTACTGCCCTTAAATTGCTGAGGTCCTTAATTTTTTTTATTATTATTATTATTTTAAGATGCTCAAGCCTGTCTTCAAAAAAGTTGCTCCTCTAAGTATCTAATGACATAACAACCTCATCCAATGGGAAACACAATCTTGGATAAAAATTTCTTCCCCACTAGGTTTCCTGAATATAATGGCAATGAGATTAGCACATTTCCCAGTGATTGAGTTGGCATGTGCCCATAGATTTATAAATAGAATTTATTGTTAAAGTTACTGTGCTACTTGGGTAAGTAGCTATTGCAATTTGATGATAGAAAGTGTTCTGTGAAAAGGACCTATTATATGCTTTATATGCCATGGCCATCTGAGGACGAAGACGGACAGAAGACACAAGTGAGTCCATTCTATCCCGTATACAATTATGAACAGTTGGATATATTTAACATTTGGCAATTTGATTGATATTTTCCTGTTCCTTTACTTTTAATTACATTGGACCAGTTGGGGGTAAATGATGATTTCAAATCCTTAATCATTTTGCTGTCATTAGGTAGTGTAATAGCGATGTGCTGGAATGTGTCCTAATTTCTGCTGACGTCTCCCACAGGAGAGCAATAGACTTGTGGAATTTAAAGACCATTTGGAGTCAGGAACCAACCCATGCCTTGTTCCAACCTTTGTAAACTAAGATATTTGTTTACCACATTCCCATAAAACTAATGGTGAATTTCCAAGGTGAACCTTGTGATGAAAGGACATTTATGTAATTGAAAATATCATCACTGCTGTCACCAGTAGAGTGGATCTTATTTTTGAAAGATGGAGTTACATGTTACGACTAGGAAAAACTGTTTTCAATAAGATTAATTTCAATGAGCCTTTGTGCTTTGCGATCCAGTCAAAATTCTAATAGTGAGAAAATACTTCTATCCCAGTCAGAATACTATTTTATGCCTCCCCTTAAGAAATCAGGCATTGCCTTTAAGCAGCCAAATTCTATGCCATGATTATGCATGGGAATGCACAGTGCTGTACACTGCTGGCTTAGGTCCTATACAGAGCTGTCTTTACATTGCATTTCTTTCTTTTTGATAGTCTAGCTCCACAGTGAGAGCCTATCAAACCAGTAAATCTCGAGTGACCATGAGCCCTGGCTTCAGCTCCCAATGGAACAGCAGCCAACCAGCCTGGAATACATACTCCTTTCCAAGAGCAAGCTTGCACTATCAATCCCACGCCAGCTATACCTACTGTACTGGACACCCTGCTGTAAGTACTCCATTTTCTATATTTAGTAAATTGGATGCTAAAGCAGGTACATTTTGAATCCAGAGTTGGTATCTCTCTATTAAGTGAGCACCATTTCCAATGTTATAACTCTTCTATAATAAGAATATGCTACTATTGAGTAAAGCAGTGAGAAATGGAGAATGTCTTAAGCATTTAAATGATATACCTTTGCTGAAAATTGGTGTCTTATTTAAAGTTATTTCTAGGTGAAATTGGTTGGCAGAATTTTCAGAATGGTATTGGTGTGAAAGCTGAATGTACGAAGGTCTCTGGTTTTATTTTCTGACTTCCTCCTGGCTTTTCTTATGAATTTAGTTTGTTGTTTTTGCACTGGAGAGGGTGTCTTTCAAAGTGACAATTCCATCATTCACCTTGTTAGTATAGACAAATACTAACATATGTATATTCATTAGTAGGATATTTTCCACAGAACTCTGAGGTTCGTGGCATAAATGACTCAAAGGGCAAGAGAAAGAAACATTTAGTGACAAGAAATAAGCTCATGGAATTTGAGAACCTTTTAGAACAGAGTACTGGTTTTTGCTATTGTTTTCTGTGTCTCAGTCCAGTTCTCATACACTAAGATTTTTGTTGTTGTAAATTATACTTATATGCTTGGAAAAATTATGTTGAATGCTGATTAGGAACACATCTGTTTTCTGCTAAAAATATAAGTACAAGGCTCTTAGTGAATGAGAGACCTTTAAAAATAAGTCATATCTGTTTAAAACAAGTATACTTGTAGGCCAATATATATGAATTTTATGGTAACTACAAGTCAAAAATCTACAATAGATGCATATAAAACTAAATAAAGAGAAAAGAACCCAAACTAAAACTGAAGAAAATCATCAAATCAGAAGGGGAGAAACTAAAAGAAGAAAAGAACAGAAAAGAACTATAAAAACACCAGAAAATAAGAAATAATATCACAATAAACACATACCTGTCAATAATCACTTTAAATGTCAGTGTACTAAATAATCCAAAAAAAAAAAGACATGAGTGGCTTATTGGATAGAAACACACAAACACAGAGAAGACCTAAGCCCCGTCTATATGCTGCCTACAAGAAAAAAAGAAACAAAAAAGCTCACTTCAGAGCTAAAGACACATAGAAACTGAAAGTGAAGGTATGAAAAAGATATTCCATAAAATGGAAAATGAAATAAAGTTAGGGTAACAGCACTTATATCAGACCAAGTACAATTTAAAGCAAAGTGTGTAAGAAGAGACCAAAAGGGCATTTTATAATGAAAAGTTGGGGGTCCATCCAAGAAGAGTCTATCACATTCACAAATATGTTTGCACCTAATACAGGAGAAACAAAATATATAAAGCAAATATTACCAGACATAGAGGGAAAATTTGTCTATAACACAATAATAGTAAAGAACTTTAACATCCAATTTACATGAATGGATAGATCATCTAAACACAAAGTCAATAAGGAAATGGTGGCTTTCAGTAACACATTAGACAAGGCAAACTTAATAGATATCTATTGGATATTCTGTCCCCAAACAGCAGAATATTCATTCTTTTCAAGCGTAAGTGGAATGTTCTTCAGGATAGATTACATGCTAAGACACAATAATCCACAATAAATTTAAGATTGAAATTATGTCAAGCATTGTTTCCAAAAACAAGGGTAGGAAACCAGAAATCAAATACAGGAAGAAGAGTGAGGGAAAAAAAAGCACAGACATGTGGAGGCTAAAAGTCTTGCAATTAAAAACAATGGAGCCATGAAGAAATCAAAGAGGAAACCAAAATGTACCTTGAGATGAATGACAATAACAACGTAACTTCCTAAAATCTGTGGGATGCAGAAAAGCAGTTTTAAGACATAAAGGTTATAACAAAGCAGACCTATTCCCAAGAAATAAGAAAAATTCAAAGCAAACAACTGAACTTTCCATCTAAAGAAATTAGCAAAAAAAGAACAACCAGAACACAAATTCAAAAGAAATAAGAAAATAATAAAGATCAGAGAGGAAGCAAGTAAAATAGTGACAAAAGTAATAAGCAAAGATCAATTAAACTAATAGCTGTCTTTTGGAAAAATAAACAGAATTGATGATCCAGGTTCATTAAGAAAAAATGTGTGAGTGCCCAAATAAAATTAAATATGAAAGAAGAGAATTTACAGGCAACATTGTTGTCGTTCAGTTGCTCAGTTGTGTCCGGCTCTGCAACCCCATGGACTGCAGCATGCCAGGCCTCCATGTCCTTCACCATCTCCCTAAGTCCGCTCAAATTCATGTCCATTTAGTCAGTGATATCATCCAATCATCTCATTGGATTGTCCCTTTCTCTTCCTGTCTTCAGTCTTTCCCAGAATCAGGCTCTTTCTAATGAATCAGCTCTTTGCATCAGCTGGACAAAGTATTGGAACTTCAGCTTCAGCATCGGTCCTTCCAATGAATATTCAGGATTAATTTCCTTTGGGATTGACTAATTGGATCTCCTCACAGTCCAAGGGATTCTCAAGAGTCTTCTCCAACACCACAATTCAAAAGTATAAATTCTTGGGGTCTCAGTCTTCTTTATGGTCCAGCTCTCACAACCATACATGACTATTGAAAAAAACCATAGCTTTGACTATATAGACCTTTGTTGGCAAAGTGATGTCTCTGCTTTTTAATATGCTGTCTAGGTTGGTCATAGCTTTTCTTTCAAGAGGCAAGTGTCTTTTAATTTCATGACTGCAGTCACCATCTGCAGTGATTTTGGAGCCCAAGAAAATAAAGTCTGTCACTGTTTCTGTTGTTTCCCCATCTACTTGCTGTGAAGTGATGGGGCCAGATGCTACGATCTTAGTTTTTTGAATGTTGAGTTTTAAGCCAACTTTTTCACTCTCCTCTTTCACCTTTATCAAGAGGCTCTTTAGTTCCTCTTTGCTTTTGACCATAAAGGTGGTGTCATCTGCATACCTGAGGTTATTGATATTTCTCCTGGCAATCTTGTTTCCAGCTTGTACTTCACCTGTCCTGGCATTTCATATGATGTACTCTGCATAGTAGTTAAATAAGCAAGGTGACAATATACAGCCTTGATATACTCTTTTCCCAATTTGGAACCAATCTGTTGTTCCATGTCCAGTTTTAATTGTTGCTTCTTGACCTGCATACAGGTTTCTCAAGAGGCAGGTGAGGTGGTCTGGTATTCCCATCTCTTGAAGAATTTTACATAGTTTGTTGTGATCCACACAATCAAAGGCCTTAGCATAGTCAATCAAGCAGAAGTAGATATTTTTATGGAATTCTTTTACTTTTTCTATAATCCAGTGGATGTTGGCAATTTGTCTCTGGTTCCTCTGTCTTTTCTAAATCCAGCTTGAACATCTGGCAGTTCATGGTGCACATACTGCTGAAGCCCGACTTGGAGAATTTTGAGCATTACTTTGCTAGCATGTGAAATGAGAGCAATTGTGTGATAGTTTTAACATACTTACAGAAATACAAACAATCATAAGAGAATATTATAAACAGTTATATTCCACCATATTGGACGACCTAGAAAAATAGATAAATTCCTAGAAATATACAATTTTCCTAGACTGTTGTTCAGTCACTATGTTGTGTCTGACTCTGTGACCCCATAGACTATGGCATGCCAGTGTTCCCTGTCCTTCACTATCTTTCAGAGTTTCCTCAAGTTCATGTCCATTGAGTTCGTGAGGCTATATATAGTCATCTGATTCTCTGCCATCCCCTTCTCCTTTTACCTTCAATCTTTCCCAGCATCATGTCTTTTCCAATGAGTCAGCTCTCACATCAGGTAGCCAAAGTATTCTAAAACTGATTCTGGAAGCAATAGAAAAACAGAATAGATTGTTTACTAGTTTTGACATTGAATCAGTAATTAAAAAACTTCCAACAAACCAAAGTCCGGGACTGAAGAGCTTCACAGGGGAATTCTACTAAGCAATTAAAAGAAGGGTTAATACCTTTTTTTCTCAAATTGTGCCAAAAATTGAAGAAGATTGAACAGTTCCAAACTCATGCTACAAGGTCAGTGTTACTCTGAAATGAAAACTAGACAAAAGCACTAAAAAAATAAAGTTAGAAGCCAGTATCCCTGATGCACATAAACATAAAAGTCCTCAGCAAAATATTAGCAAACCAAATTCAACAATCTATAAAAATTATCATACATCATGATCGAATGGGATGTATTCCAGAGATGTAAGGATAGTTCACTATCTGCAAATCAGTCAATATGATATGCCACATTAACAAAACTAATAGTAAAAATCCCATGACCATTTCCATAGATACAGAAAAAGCATTTGATAGAATTCAACATCCATTATGATAAAAGCTCTCAACAAAATTATTGTAGAGGGAACATACCTCATCATAATAAAGACCATTCATGACAAAGTCACAATTAACATTATACTCAATGGTGAAAAGTTTGAAGGATTTTCCTCTAGAATTAGGAACAAGAAAAGGATGTCCACTCTTGCCATTTCTATTTAACATAGTATTGGAAGTTCTAGACACATCATTCAGACAAGAAAAAGAATAAAAGGCATCTAAATTGGAAGAGAAGAAGGAAAACTTTCACTATTTGCAGATGACAAATATGTAAAAAACCCTAAAGTTGCCACCAAAATCTAGTAGAACTATTTATGAATTCAGTAAAGTTGCAGGACACATGATTATATACAGAAATTGCTTGCATTTGTATATGCTAATAATGAACAATCAGAAAGAGAAATCAAGAAAACAATCACATGTACAAATGCATCAAAAAAATAAAAAATACCTAGGAATGCTTTTAACCAAGAAAGTAAAAGACTTATACTGTGAAAACTTGAAAACATTGATGAAGGAAATTGAAAACAATGCAAATAAATGAAAAGATACCCTCTGTTCATGGATTAGAAGTATTAATACTGTTAACATGTCTATACTACCCAAAGCAACTACAGAATTAATATAATCCCTAACAAAATACCCATGAAACTT